TAACATGAAAATATGGTTAATTAGATTAACTGCAGCTTACAACAAGGGAGGAGCAAAGGGCTGCATATACAAACAGAAGATTTGTGCATATTTTGTTTTAGTAAGATGAGATGTCATTGTTCAAATGCAAGCAGGATGGGTTAATTTATTTGCAAGTTTCCATGTGCAAGAGGCAGGAGAAGCAGCAGCACTCCATCTATGAAACAGATTGATTCCATAAAGGAATCCATAGCCTAGGGTTTACAAGAGCTAAGCAGGGCTGTCAAGGACAGGATATTTTGGAGGGCATTCGTTCATAGAATCACCATGTCAGAGATGACTTGATGGCACGTAGTAATAACAAAGTACAAGAGGAAATCTAAGAGAATATTGAAGCTTTTAACAACATGGATAAGATTTACTTTAGGAAAAGGTAAAACAGAAACCTAGAAATGTCCTCTTAAAAAGAAAGGTGGTCAGAATGTAATGTCTCCCAAGTATAGTCTCTAATTAATAGTCAATGAGGGTATATTTGGTGCAAGTCTGCCCAAGAGCTAATATAAATATTAGTAGAATAATGTGGTGCAGCTTTTCCTGGACTATGAAATTTCAATCTGTGTGGGCATTTGTGTGTGTGTGTCCCATATCTGAATGCTTCCCTTATCAGAAAGACTCCCTGCACCAATAAACTATTTATATTTCTGTATTACACCTACTGTTCTCTGAGCACAGTTTTAATACAGCCTGATAGGACAAGAGAGAGAAATAATCCAGTTACTGAGGACAGACCCATAGTTATAGGCAGTATGGGCTGGGAGGCATTGACATTTTTTCTCTAAGGTTCAAAATTTATCTAAAGAATATTGGGAATATCAGTAGATGCCAGCATAGCAGGGCACAGCAGGTACATAAAAATGGGAATTAATTGTTTTCCTAACTGGAGGCCAATTATCAATTACCAAATACACAATAAGATGTTCATCAGTACTATTTACTGTTTGATCATACCACACATTTGGTGTACCTGCATCTTCCAATGGAACATAAAGCAATAGGGTCTCCCACGACAGCTACTAGGGACTGGGCTCTTGTAATAGCTGTGTTGAGAAGCTTGTAATTGGACAGAAAACCATAATCCAAGTCTTCTGTTGAATCTTCCAATAAATGTTCCTTCCGTTTTATAGGTGTTTGCTTGTGTTTGCATGTATGCCGTGTTCGTACTGTGCTGAGAAACAACACTCGAAACTGTTTTCCTGAAGAAGTAAAAGTATGAAGTAGTCTTAGCCAGTTCCTTTGCTAGTAATACAATCAAATGACTGCACAGATTGACTTTTTACATGTAATTCTGACAAATGAATTTGTTGCTCACTTAAAGAGCCTGGTGCTAAAATAATAAGAGTTTAAACATTTTGATATTTTATCTATTTATAAGATTTCAGAGCACAAGTACGATTTTTAAAACACACACACGCAGCAGCTAAAATTGCTTTTAAGTCCCAAATGCAACTGAAATGTGTCCTCAGCAATTTAAAAAATAAATAAAACAAAACAGCAGTGATGAGGTCATATGCATCTCCCTGGAGGGAGTTCCAAAGCTGCAAGGCCACCACTGAGAAAGCCCCATATGTAGTAACCACTATAATAATGGCCCTCTAAATGAGCCAGTTCTGGTTTTAACACTTGGGCAGGCTTTAGAAGTATAGGCAGTCTTTCAGATAACAAAACCTTCTGCCATTTAAGCCATAAAGGCCAAAACCACCACCCTAAATTTCATCCAGAAAATAAAATAGGCAGTCAATACAAATAGGGGCAATACTGTACCATTATTGCTACAATATTGCACGAGCATTCTAGCTGCTACATCTAGCTGCAGTTCCTGAATCATATTCTATGGTAGTCCAACTAAAGCACATTACAGTAATCTAACCAGGTCATGGTTAGGGCATATATCATTCTGGCTATGTTAGCTTTCTTTAGATAGGGCCACAGTTGCTGAATTGCCCAAAGGTAGTAAAGGCAGCCATGGCAACTGATGCTACCCACACATCCAAAGACATTGCTGACTTACAGGAGTACTCTTAGGTTATAATACCTGGCCCTTTACAGGGAGCATGACCACATCAAGAGTCAGACTTAAACTTCCATCAAGTTTAACAGATTTTCCAGCCCACAGACCTTCCCATTTTATCCAGATTAAGCTCAGTTTCTTAGTCCTTATCCATCCCAACAGCACCTCAGACATCAGTCCTGGGTTTTCCCAGTGATTTCATATAGATACAAAAAAGCATGGAAGACAAGGCAGAACCTTGAGATATCCTAAATGTCACTGACCAAGAGGTGGAAAACCAATCCCTCAGCACCACCAAATGATCCGTTCCCCCAGGAATAATTAGAGCTACTACAACGCTATTGCTCCAGGTTTCATCTGAGAGAGACAAACTAGGGACAATATCTGAATAAGAAATAAATGGATTATTTCTTAAAGACTCTTTTTATGGGGGTGTTAAATAGAAAAATGAAGACAAAATGGTACATGTGATATATAATAGGGTTTGCTACTGTCAGGTTCCAGGCCTGCTGAATGCATGATAAGAATTCCTTCCTTTGTCTATGCTCACAGAGGAAAGTTAAGGTGTGAACCCATTTAGAGGTCACAAACAGCTCAACCTTTCAGGCAGATTTGATCTCACTGCAGTCATATGATGGCTGGGGCAGGCATTTATGGTCTTCCATTTATTTTAGCCAACATCTCCCAGCAGCCCTTGCCAGCATAGCCATTGGTGATAGTGTATGGGAGCTGTAGACTAAAACATCTGGCAGATCACAGGTTGTTAATGCTTGTATCAGGAAAACACTTAAAATGTGGTAAGGCTGCTCTCTTGGCCAAAAAAAAAAAAGGTCACATAACCATTAAAACATCCCAGTTAAGGATCTCAGTCACTTAACTTCCACAAAGAGAAAAAAAAGACAGGCCCTAATAAGCAGTTGACTGTGATAATTAAGTTTCTTCATCTCATCCATTAATTGTCTGTTAGTTTGTGAAGTTGCAAAGGAAAGCAGTAATTTAGAGTTCTGCTACAGAACCTGATAAACAAAATAAGAACTAGTCTGTGATTCCATTTTTAGGAAAATACTGTATCAACATAATGGAGTTGGATCTTAAGGAATCCACATGATCTTCACCCAAGGGTTACAGAGCCTTTCCAACCTCAAGGGCCAAAAGGGATGCTGATTCATGAATCAGGTGCCACACACATGTGCACACACATATACAAATTATGATACACATCATTATTTCCTTAGAAAGAGAGATGTCTATGAGAACTCCCTGGGAAGGAAATAGAGGGCCTCTCCTCCACTCCTTTCCCTGAACCCCTGACATAAATCGTTCTTTCACTGTAAGACTTGGGGGTAGATTTTGTGGCAGTGAGGATGTCAGGGCATCCTGGAGGATGCAGTTAATGCTGGGGTACAATGGATGTAACCACTGGGCCATGGGTTTTATACCCGTTTTTTTATTGTTATTTCATCAGAGGTGTAAGCTACACTTGAAATAGGAATTCCTTTGTGTGTACTTCCTTGCACATATAGAAAATAGAAACACTCTGTACAGAAAGGACTGTAGATAATGTCCAGATTCCATAAAGAACTATCTAATATAATCATGAAACCTGCTATATACCAAACTTAGATAGCATATCTGGACAATAAAAGACCAGTTTTTCCTATATATCTTGCAACACCTAAACTATAATTAAACATTAATTACATGAACTGTTCCATATATTGCTAAATTCAACCACAAAATAAAAACTGCTTGGTATTCATGAACTGCTTTGAGTTGCATCTTAAAACAAAACACTAGGTAAAGGAATATAAACTGCTGATGCTTTGAGATCATTTCAAATTCTCAGCCAGGTTCACAAATCCATAGATATGTATGCACTACTTACCCTGAACATTTAGCACTCTCTCAACACTGACATCAGACAATCTTTTTTTCCGAAGCTCTGCTCGAATTCGGAACACTTGATCAGCATATGGTGTTACCACACCTATGCTGCCATCATCCAATTTTCCCCAGGCGACTGGCCACTTTCTCCTCAGTTCTTCAACACGTTCCACTACTTCAAACACCTTGAAAGGAGAAAAATCATACTAAGGAAATCTAAGCGCTAGCTTTTTTTAGTATAAAATGTAATACTGCAACACAGGGTTTAACAGAAGCATAGCATACAAGCCATTTTTATGATATCCACTGAAGTAAGGCACTGCCTCTCATGATATTTAATATTACAAATATTGTAGGTGTGTCACTACAATAACTGATAATTTTAATGCATCCAAAGCCTTAAATATGCAATCAGAATAGCCCATAAAATCAGCCAGAAGCCTAAGCTGCTTAAATCTAAGTGCACACCACATTAACTTACTTTTATTAAATTAGATAATGCTAATGCATATTTATGGAAGAGTCTTCATTTTTCATTACAGATTTGTTTTCTTTATTCACAACTAACACTTGAATAATATATAGCATATGCATATTTGTATTTCACTGTCATGCCTGACTAGGCTTGAGCTAGGATGACTCATCCTCAGAGGAAGCTTCCAATATTGCAATGGTTGTGTTTTCATGACCTGACAACCCACCCACTGAATACATTGCATGGATGGATTTCCACCCGTTCTTCCCCTTTGGTCCACCTGTCAGTATGCCAGGGACTTGGTAGTTAAAATTATCTTGTCTCTTCTATCTTCTGTCCAAAACTGAGGGAGTACTGTCAAAGTGAAGGAGCTGTCAAAAAGTCCTTTTAAAACAGGATTTTTGAAAGGACAAAGCAGGATTTTTTTCACAGGACATACGCACCCTGAAAATGTGCATTTGTCACCATAAAAACTCTGCTGTTGAGTTTTTTTAACTTTTTGACAGTTCTCAAAAGTAAATGCTCTGATAAATGGGATCAGCTGGACTTTTGCATTAGAGCCTCACAAAAAGGATGGAAACGCTAGAACAGACTAAGAGCTATCAGATCCAAATTTAAAGCAGAGATAACTTCACTGCATGGGGCTTGATCAGTGGCCACATAATTTTGCAAGCAAAGAATTCTTGTGGCTTTTTGTGCTTGATAGCACACTGTTTGACAGTTGTCATGTGATCAGAAAGTCATATATTTGACGCATGGTTTTGTTAGAGTCCATAGATGATACATTTATTGACAATAAGTAGGCACTTTCCAGGATATTGATCAGGCAAGGTATTTTGGTTAATCAGATTGTTCACCTCCAAGGAACTAACAATTTTATATAAAACAAAAACATTTGCACACATTCCTGGTGCAAAATAAAAGGAGTAAAACCAGTGACAGCCATTCCAATGTTTGAACATTTTGGACAAACTGTAACTGGAAGTACCTGTCATTTGGGAGAATGCAAAAAGCAATAACCAAAAAGAAAAGTGGGGGAAGTCACAGCAGCTGCAAAAATGGTCATGACAACCATCATGGCTAACTATGGATTAGCCTGCTTCCTGCACATGGTTTTGACTTATCACCCATCTTTTTTTCATGTCCCCAGAAATTTGTAAAAATGTATTCGCAATTTTCTTTTTAGAGGGGTGCTCTTTCACTTCTACAGCTATCCAAAATATGTAGTTTTAGCTGGTCAATTGCCTTGTATGTTTCTGCTGACAAAGATAGTGCTAAAGTGGAGTAGCTATCATACATGGAAACCAACAAGGTGAAATTCCATATAATCTAATTTGTGCACAATTGCCAGGAACCAACTGCTGAATTGTCAACTGAAAACCACCAAAGGAGAAGGATAGCAGTGGGGGAATGGCAAACAAAAATGTCAGGACAGTGACACTCTCTTAACAATGTAATCACCTGTATTTTAAGCACTGAACTGACACTTCTCCATTTTTTCCAAACCTCTCCAAGTCTCTAGGCATTCAAACCTGGAAACTGACTAGGTAAGGCTACACATAACTGACAGCTGTAAGGGCACACCTGTGAAAGACTGACTGGAAATCAAACAAATTCTGAACACAATTGTGCAGTTTTTGGCAGCAGATATTAAAAAAACTCTACTGCACACTTTCAGGGTTCCGATAAGGGGGAAAAAACTGCTGGTGATGAACCAAAAGGAATGATGATCAGAATGGAGATGGGGGAGACACGATGGGTTCTGCCACTCAGGATGCTGGGGTACTGGCTGGAGAACAAGCCATCCATGGTGTTCCCAATTGCCCACTGGGTACATCACGGTTTGTTCCACAAACAATCCATACTGTATAGCTTGTTTGTAGGACAGCTTAGTGTGAACAGAGCTAGTATCTTAACAGAAAATGAACAAGATATTTAAAAAGAATACTTTGTGGAAGAGATAACTAATGAAGTTGAGTGAAAATTATGATTATCAAGAAAGCAATTAAAGGTGAAACCAAAGTGCTACCTCTGCATTGTTGTAAAAAGCAGTACTGTTTTTTTCTTGCACATCTTCTCCTCGTGCTGTGAAGAAAGTCAGAGGGTAGAAATCTTTGTGTGCTGGCTGTTTTCCACTTGCCATCAACTTGCCCTCATAGAAAAGTTCAGAAGTATAGCTGCAGTGAAAGAGAACACCAAGTAAAATGTGGAAACTGTGTTAACCTAAATCCTAGTACCAAATAGAAACATTCACATCTTCTGCTGTTCTGCTGAGTAGGAGATGGAATCACCTGTGCAGTTAAGCCACCTGTGCAGTAATGAGGATGGATAAGACACTGTAAATATTTGCTTCTCCCAGAGTAACACTAACAACAAGAGGAGAATGAGGCAGGTGCATTCCTCAGCCTGCATTCCAATGGGAAAAGGAACACTTTCCTACCTTCTTTCCTTCTCCCATTAACTATTACGGAAGCCAGAGAAAAGGAGGCAGGACCCTTGCAAGGTAATTTTCTTATCTGTTCACATTTCCGTTTCTTAAACTAGGAGTTGATAATAAGGACAAGATTAGACTTTTGCAAAACTAGTTTCTGGTCAGGGCTTAGGATTACAGACTGCACATCATCGTTGGAAAGACTGATATGACTTCAGCATCTAGTTCAGCCTTCTTTAACCTGGTGCCTTCCATGCGCTTTCAGCTACAACTCCCAACATTCCCAAACACTGGCCATGCTGGCTGGGGTTGATAGGAGTTCAGGTTCAAACATCTAAAGACCACTAGGCTGTTTTCAATTATCAGAGTTTTATCTTTATGCAGAAATAATTCTACTACTGCCTACTGTACAATTTTCAAGCATATTTTAAATATAAGGCAGTAAAGAAGAGAGGGCTCTGGACTGACACTACAAAGGGAAAAAGAACAAAATTTGTATTAAAAGGTGCAGAAAATCCTTATATCTTAGAAGTGTCACATGCACACATCCCTCAGAAACGGGACATTCAAAAGCAGTTTGTGACATAGCATAGGGATCAGGTGTCAAAAGGTTGTAGGGGGCAGAACACAGGCCAGGTGTAGGGGCTGGGTCTGCTTCTCGCAGAATACAGCATTCCAAGGTGGTTATCACAGAGTCTAAATCTGAACTGTAAGAAGAGATGGAGTAGGAATGTTTGGCTATAATGCCAAAGCCAGCAGACCCAATGATAAGCCAGAGGATGGTGAGAATCAAACCAGATCTGGTTCTGAGGAAAATTCTGTTGAACAGACAGAATAGAAGGAGGGCAGAAGTACATTGATCAGTCCTAGAGTCTTGAGGCAGGTCAAACAAACCGACCAATCATTCCTGTTATTTGTCCCACAGGTAGCAGGAATCTCCTTGAGAGACTCCATTTGGTTCAAAAGAGAGAAAGGGGATTCATTTAGAATCAGCTCCTTAGTCTGATCAGTACTCTTTATTTGCTGGTTCTTCAACTTGATAGGGGTCTTTTGATATGTTCCTTTTGTATCAGAAAGCCAAGCCTGGCTGGTCTACTTTAACATAATAAAATATTTTAGTTAGATGATTCTTGTCTTGATGATGCTGATCCCCTGGGAAAGAAAAAGGAGAGGTGCAGGCAGAAACCAGCTCACAACACCCAGCCCCTAGGCATGGCTAAAACTGCTCCTTGGATCCCTGCAAGGAACTGAGATGAACAAACAAGATGACCACTAAACAAAAAGGAGCAACTGCTGCTCTGCCAAACTGCTTCCCCCAAGGATACTATCTGACAGTCTTTCTATTGCTAATCCAGATGTGGATATAAAGGAATATGGAGGAAGAAGATGTGACAGATTTGCCACAAGCCACAGTGGTTGTTGAGTAAGACTAATAACTTAGGAATCAGGAATCAGCCCAGGAATCAGGACTGCTTTTCATGCAGTACTTGTTTCAACCTCTGAAATATGTAGCTGTTAAAAAGCCAGGATTTTGCTATGTAGCTATATCCATGATCAGAGGCCTTGTATGCATCTTCTCTCAGCAGATATATTCATTTGACACCAATACAGAAGAAAAGTGAAATGGTCCAACAGATAAAAACAGAGATGTCTAAAACAAAGACTGTCTGTGTTAAAACTAAGGCAAGCTATGTCGCAGAAGACAGAATTCCACATATTTCTCTGAAATGTCACTAAATTGCTCTAAGGGGTCACCATTAATCAAGAATGAACTAGCACAAAACAGACTATACTGCAGATTGCCCTTAACCCATATACAAACCTTCCCATTCCTACCTTCTACAAATTTGCCAGAAATTAAACCATGCTTGAAAAATGTAAGGGAACACTTTTGTTATAACATGTTATAGCTCTGTCTTGTTATCCATTTAATTTTCAAATTGATAAATGGAATTGGTTGAATTATTTACTAAATATGAAATTAGGAATTTTAAATGTTGGCAGTTTTCCCACAATCACAGTGATGAATTTAAGCAAAGGTTATAGCCAAGCATATTAATATATGCAACTATTAGTTTAGCAAAGCATAATAATCTAAACAACTGATTTATGTACCAAAAGAAATAATTTCAAAGAACTTCAGCAAAGTTATATGCCTGGAAATTGTCATATTTACTTCTGCTTTTTGTACCTCTGATTATATATAGTAGCAATGCTTTTTCATATCCATTATGCTTGCTGAAATAGTAATGAGTCTAAGCAATAAAATTTGATTAAGAATGTTAATTCTAAAAAAATACTGCAGTCAGTAATGAACCAAAGTTGCAAAGTGTCTCCAGTAGCATTTCTTAAACCACTTTCTTTCTCAGAGTTCTACTCATTTATAAGGCTATTTCTGGAAAAATTTGAGAACATCAACTTTACAGAGGTAAGGAGAAGATGAAGAGGCACACACAGCTTTTGACCTGCTTGTAATAAATTGACCATGGTTAAGAGAAACTACATCTGTATCATTTATAACCATACCTGGATTATTTATATGTTATAAGTAACATTATCATCATCCCCAATCCGCTTCTGAACACTGTAAAAGCAGGAGAGCTTCTAAATCCAGAATGCTCCATTAACTCCTCAGTTTCTAAGAATCTGGTCCAGGCTCATACTTTGTTCCCATTTAACGTAATGTTTCTCTATCAATCCTACATCTATGATAAGGCCGTGACTGCCTTACTGCCTTGCCTATGCTTCTGCCTCCTTACTACTTACAGCATTGCTCATCCCTGCCTAGCCGATAACCAATTTCTGTTTTCCTGGATCATCACCATAGTTTCAAGCCACAATACAGATTGTAGATCTAAGCACTGTCTTCCTTGACTTGTCTTCACCTTCCCTAATGTAACATAGACCCACGGCACATTAAGGATACTGCTTCTGACTGGATTAGTAGCCTTTGTCAACATTATCCTGTTATAGGAGTCTGAGTTTGCAAGTAACAGCAAGTCTTCATCTCAGCATGTGAATGTATTGTTTGAGATAGCTGTACATCTAGCCAATCTGGGTGCTCCCCTACTATGCATATTCAGCAGGTTCCATTAAAATCAATTTGACAGGACTTAATACTACAAGCCATGCTGCCTTTCAAGATGAGCTACTGTATATGCAAAATACTTCAAATCCTTTGAGCTAGTTATCAGGAGTGGGAATGCAAACCCACATGAAGCACAAGGAATCAGCTAAATCAACATTAGAAATCACCAGCTGGACCATCAAAACAACCTTTGCTGTGGCTTCACAAAGCAAGAAGCCTAGATAACCTATTCCACTGAGCCTCATGGTAGCATTGTCACTCGTTCTCTTCAAATTTTCAAAAGCAGTAGTGTTATACAAATAAAAGTTTTAGGTCACTGCATTTCTCTTTTCAACTAAATTTGGGAGTGTAATGACAATGTTTTCATTTTTGCTTTTTTGTTTTTATGTTTCTATGAGATACTTGCGCCAGCCAAGCAAAAGTGTGATACAGTGAAAAAGTTCACACCTACTTGATGATAGCTTCATGGGAGCGATAGTTCTCACACAGTAAGATCCTGCATGGAAATTCTGCAGGGTAATGTTCATAGAGTCGATCCAGTAATGAAACATGAAGATTTCTTTCTCTGGCAAATTCACTATAGACAAAAGGACTAAGCTGCAACAAAGAGAAAACCAATCACTTTGTTATTTATTTAGATTTATAACTGAATCAGAATATCTATACCGAACGTTACCTTGTCTGTTTTGTAAAATATCAGGAAAATGGTAAATGGTAAATTAACAATAAATGTTTCAATCCATGGTGAAAAAATAGCATTGAATTTGCCTTTTGCTTCCTGTGTCTCTAGGCAACAATACGGCCAGTATGCAAGGCTCCTGTGCTTCCAAACCACTGAAGCAATGTGTCAAACAAGTTTACTTTTTGCTTTACTGAGAACTGTCCTGGAGAACTACTTCCAGGTTCTTAAAGGCCCTTGGCCAGGATGCCCTTGAATGGGCCTGTTCCGTCAGTGAGTCATCACTGCTGCTGCTCTTGCTCCACATCACCTCTCGCTGTTGCTGCCACTTGCTGGCTTGACAGCCAGAGGGCCAGGCAGGCACACACAGATCCTACTCCTCTTCTCTTCACCACCACTGAGTGAACCCTTCCAAGTCCATTTATCATCACAACCTTGCAGGTTTCTAACTTAGTTAGTTAGTTAGGTAACTTTCATTTCTATACCACCCAAAGCTGAACCTCTCTGGGTGGCTTACAACTAAGCATAAGAACACAATAAAATACAATAGATGAAAAAGTAAAAACTTAAAATAGCATAAAAAACATGAGAAGCCAATTTAAAAGCCCCGGCCAGAAAAGAAAAGGCACCTGGATAACCATGTCATGAATGACCACAGGGATGTCTTTAAAGGCTTCTGCAAGAGGGCTGTCTTAACCTAGCACTGAAAATAGGGCAAATTTGACCCCAGGCAGGCTGCAGCAGGGAGAGTGTTCCAAAGATGGAGGACCACCACAAAAAAGGCTCTCTCCCTAGTTGCCACCCTCTGAGCCTCTCAAGGGGTTGGCACCTGGAGGAAACCCTCAGAAGTTGAGTTTTCCATTCATTTTCATTTCCTTTTGTGATTATGCTGAATTGTCATTGTCTGTGTGATAAGGCTGCTCATCCATGGTAATATTCTCTCTAAAGTTTACTCTTGACTGTCAGTGAAACTACGCTTTCTTCTGATTCTTTGACTCCCGCCATTTCGTCTTCAGATGATTTAACAATTTCTCATTCCAAAAAACACGCCACATGATTTATTTTATGCTTTTGTCCTCTTGCCCTTTTCAGCATCATTATTCAGCATTTAATGGCAGAATGTTTGGGCTTACTTTTTGGTCCAATGTCCCTGTTCATCACAGTAGTGATCTTAATGGTTACACTGCAAACTACTTCAATTTTTCAGTTCTCCTTTTCAAGTGGCTTATTTTACTTCTGTTCAGCTTGTTAAAACATTTCTGTTTGGTATATCAACTTTGACAATTATATCATGCTTTTAACAATGAGCAATCATTAATCATTGTCAACAGTAAATCTGTTTATGCATTTACCATTTAGAATTTTAGCCTACTTAATCCCCAGAGATTAGGGAGAGTAAGGGGAAGAAGCTCTACAAGCTGTGACAAGGCAAATTTGTGATCTAGTGCTGCCACCACTGCCGCCTTGCTGGCATCTGAACTTTGTTGTGGAACTTCTAACTGGCCTTTTGCAAACTCAGTTCTAGCAGAGTACCATCCCACTCCCCGTTACAAAAACCTTGGGTGGGGCTGTCGCCAAAGGGGACAATGCTAAAGACTCTCCCATTTGGAGGGACATGAAGAAAAGGCTTCTCTCCTTGCTTGGTTAGAGGAAGAGGTCTGCCTGAAAAATTGTTGCCACAAGAGCTGCCTGCACCAAGTATCACAGAAGAATAATCAGTCTGTAACACTAAAAATGTGTCCCTCAAAGAAGCAGGGGAGAAGTTGGGAGTCAGGGGCTATCTTTATGGTTATACAGGGTGGAGGAAAAAACAGAGGTGGGGGACAGCTTGTCTATAATGAAACAAGGTACAAGAATAGGGTGCTACATGTTTTCACATTATCCCCCAACCTAATCAATCTGGATGGCACTGGCATCTGACTTCCTGTGTTGAAACTTCTGCTGATGAATGCCAAGCTGATAGCAGTAAGACAACTGCTATCCAGGACTTGATTTCTGGATGAGCATGCTAACCTAATCTATATGGATGAAGACCTGTTTGGAGATGGAACGGTAGTGGTCTACTGGCATTTATCACCCTCACCAGATGCCCTACCCCACAGCCTGCTGGATAAACAGATGTGTTTGAAGATGGGTGCCCAGGACAGAAAAGGGATTCTGTTGGTGTACTATCTACCATACTGGTCAACAGTTTCCCTTCCTGAGCCAGTTGGGGCTGGTATTGAAGACCGCTGGGTTTGTTGTGCTGCAGGATTTCAACATTCATGCTGAGACTGTATTTTCAGGAATGGCTCAGGACATCATGGAACAACTTGTTCCAAGTAGTATTTGACCTTCCCATATTGCTGGGCATACTCGGAATCTTGTTTTCTCTGCTGGATGAGGTGAGGCCTGGGGGTGGAGGGATTCTCTTTAGTTCTGTTGACCTGTAAAGTTGGTGTACAGCTCAACTACCTGCTGGCAAATGGAATCTCTAATGTTTTCAGAGGCAGAAAAATGCTTTTCTGTTGTGGCAGGCCTTTGGGAATAGTCTAAACCTGTTAGATTGTGCTGGACTAGCTCTAATGTTTATGCTGTTTTTATTGCAGCTTTAATGTTGGTACTTCATGCAATTTTAATATTGTAGTTGCCTTAATTGTATTTTAACTTTTGTATATTGCTATTCATATTGAGATTGTACTAGTCTTTTAATTTTATAAGCCGCCTTGAGTATGGGGAATAGGTGGAATACAAATCAATGTAATAATAATACAGTAGACAATTATTACTACCTCTTAGTACTGGCAGAAGATAATGCTGAAAGCCAGTCACTTCCTAAGACCAAGCAGTGAATTTATAAGAATTGTTTGACTACAGCCCTTCCTGACCTATGCTTCACTATTTTAACTACTATACCATACCATTTATTGGAGTGGTTTATGCAAGTGCTGGTTTGTAATTTGCAAATATAGCTGGTAGTTGTCTAGATCTATTTTATTTCCCTGAAGAAAGAATTTATATGAGTGAAGTTCAATACTATGCAGCCTTACTTGCATATGGTCTCCAGCCAAGACAATTCTTGTATTTTTATTTGCTAGTGCTAGAGGCATGATCGTCTCACACTCCATTGCTTGTGCAGCTTCATCTAACAGAATATGTGTAAAAAAACCTACAAAACAGAAACAGACAAAACGTTAAGTAACAAGTGATAAAAATGTGATAACTTTGACATTGAGATTTGAGTCTGTAAAACTGAATCAAATCTAATCAACACAAGAACATACCTTGTAAATTGCCTGTTTTTTGCAAGCAATTTTCAGTCAATACATGCCAACAGATTATGTCACTTCCTTGTCATCCCACAAGAGGTGAGACCAGCAAAAGTTAAGGATTAAATGAAAACTTTGCTTATGGCTGATTTAGAAATGCAATAAAAATATTTTCCCATTAAGATTTTCCAGACCCTACTGGAATTAGTTTCCCTCTATTCCCTACCTTCAGGGATCAGCCAATGCCCTCATTTCTTTTTATAGACAGACCCAGTCCAACAAAGAGCTTTTAAACTGAGTATAAATGGAGGGAAAACTCCTTTCATCTGAAAATAAAGTGGTGGTTCAAGAACAAAGAAACGTAAGGAGGAGGAGGCTTTTTAAAAGAAGCCTCACAACAGGGATAATTTTGCCTTGGCAGGAGGAAGAGGTGTGCAAAGTGGGACAATTACATCTATCCCCCTTGTTGTGGTTGAACCAATTCTTACTGAATTTTAGACTTCTGGCAGCCTTTCCTCTCTGCAGGAACAGCAGATCTAGTAAATAGTCTAGTCACCCAGAAGGTAAGTGTGGAACAAAGGTTAAAGTGGGACTCAAGAAGTCTGGATTCTAGTTCCCACTCAGCCATGAAACTCATTGGGCAAGTCACTGAATCTCAGCCTGACCTATCTTGCCAGGTTGTTTGTGAAGATAAAACTGAGGAGGAGGGGAGAATTATATACGCCACTTTGGTTCCTTGCAAGATGGAAAAGGCAAGGTATAAATGTAATAAATAATGGATTATGATAGAATATGGATAGCCCTTGGGAATTCTCCTCTTATATGACTGGTGTTCCTGTCAAAGTTGGGGTCAGTCTGCAGAATGTGGTGATTTTTGGGTAGTTGACAAAAATGTGACCGGGTGACCTCATCAGTTTACCTGAGCTGAAAGCAATGAGGCAAGGGGACACATAATTTTCATACATTTTAATGATTTCTCAAAATTATACACTTTTGAATGTTGGTGGTAAATGAAATTAAATCATATTTATTTTTATATTGCTTAGTTTTCCTGATTATACTTATAGTATAATTATACTGATTACACTAATCAGTCACAGTTAAATTTATTGCGTATACTGATTGGTTCTTACAAGTTTATTATATTTGTTTCCTGTTTTTGTTATACTCAGTGCATGATATGTAATTCATGCTTGTACTGTATTAGTAAGAGTAATAATGAGGATATTAAAGTCTCTTTAACTTCCAAACTATTATTTGTTCCCCTGATTTTTTTTAACAAATTGCTGGTACCTTGACCTTCACAGCACCCATTTGGTAAAGAGAGAAGACTCATGATGATAAATATGTGCATGACTTTCTAACAAGATTTATAAATACAAATGAGAAGAATAAAACTTTTTTCATGCATACTTCCTCACCAGGTTCAAGATCCAGTTGACATAGATATTGTGATGTATTCAAAGTAACTACTACTACTCGTTGTTTAAGAATGTCTTCTTTTTGTGGCATCTGAAAGGTGGAATGTGTGCTTGAAATCAAACAGTACTGATGCACAACTGGGTGGACAGTTTTTACCCAGCGATTTCTGAAATATACCCTGAAAAAAGAGGAAAAACCCTTATTTTTTGCATAACACAACTGTAATGAACTCTTAACTATCATTGAATGCACGATATACAGAAATGTATTATTTAATATGCTCTACTCTCTTTTCACAAAACAAAATTTGCCCATCTCTCCAGTATGTAAATTATATGAATGCTAGGTTATCAAAATTCATAGTGTTCTGATGCAGCACTTCAATTTTTTCAAACATCTGTTTATCCAGCTTTGTGGATATGCCTTCTACTGATTAGCTTAAATGATGTTGTAACATGTTCCTTGCAAGAAAGTTACTAGAATCAAGCCACTCAAGGGTATGGTAACTGTGAGAACACATATTTGTGAAATTAACATTACTAGCCACACAGGAAATACACTTAATTTGATTCAGAAAATCCCATACTGACATTGTCCATGGACAGACTTAAACTACAATCCTCCAGGGAGCTGGGACAGAGCTCTGATCTTTGAGTCACTACATCTCTGTGAAAGCATAAGGCTCCGGGGGCCTAGGTAACTTCCGAGACCATGCACGACTCCCCTTCCTATCCCAGCATAAAATGTCCTTTTCTTTAAGAAAATTGCACAGTAAAGTACCTACAGCATGCAGCTCACAACTGGCTTTGCCTACTCTGTTTCCACTTCCCTCCCCGTCATACAAAGCATTCCTTAGTGTCTCAACAATCCTGACCCTTTTGTATTCTCTGCATTTAGGTACATATATTGACTGCCTTATGAAATTGGCTTCAGCTTGTCTCATCAACCAAGAAAGTGTCACTCCCCTAGTCAGAAACCTTGGTCAAGGCAAACACAAAAGCAAGCTAATCAGAGACTTCCTTGCTTGAATTTCCACTGCTCAGTGTACCATATGCAGAACAATCCATGTTGTGACTGACTCTGCCCTTTGAGCAAACATTGTGAAACTGGTGCTGTTTTTTTAAGCAGATCATACAAACCTGAAATCTTTCCTTCCCTGTGTACTGAACTGTACCTACCCTAGCTTACTCTACAATTAAGATAATAGGTACCTTTGTCATACGGAATGACAATAGCAAAAGCAGCACATTTCATTACCAACACAAACAACATCAGTCTGATGGTTCTTTGTCTATTCCAATGCACCTTCAGGAGGGAATGCTCTGCAGCTACAAAGGGTTCAGAAAAGGAAATGGGGGCAATCTATCCCCGATCACACACTTTCTTTCCAAAATTCAGCTTTCCAGCTGCTTTTTTCCAGCAGTATTTGCTGCAGAATACCCACACTGGCACAGAAGAATGCTTTAGTTCAGCTCTAGACAGACTGGAAGGGTAGCTTTGCAATCCCCTCCAGCTGTGTGTGGGGGCGGGGGGGGGAATCTCAGGAGCATGTAAGAAAGAAGGAACACTCTTCTTCCCTCATCCCAAGCCTTCCCCTGCTGTGCTACACAGCTGCCAATCCAAATCATGTGAATTTCATATAAAGGACACCCTGGTCTGCTGAAAAGGAAAAATATGTCCACTATCCAATCCTGTAACATGCAGCGGAAGTTGTTTATACATACACCCAACCTCTACAGCCTCCCTCAGATCCAAGAAACTTATAACAAGCTGTCAGAAATTTGAGTAGGCTAATCCCTTCCTAGCCTGGCCTCCTCCCATAAGGCAAGATGAATTTCCCACCTCAGAGAAATGTGGTAGAGAAGGGAGAATGTGGGCACTTCCTTCCAATGCCTGATGACACCATAAATGTTCCTTTTTTTTAAATTCCATCTGTCTACTGCTTCCAGTCATACTTTGGTCCTGAAGCATCAGGGAAGGTGAGCACTGCTGTAGCAAGAAAGGGGCCAGCACAGCTCTCTGAAAGAACCACCCCACCCATTCTTTGCTTTGAGACTCAGATGAGGCACTGAGCAAGCAGATTCTCTGGAGAGCTGCAGAAGAAATATAACCCACACAGCTCTCCAAACCAGCCAGCCTAATGCTTTGCTCTGAGAGATCCTCAGAATGAGGAATCAGTCTGGCCGCTAATTTGGAGAGCGACATCAGCTGCTGTCCTATTGTGGCACATGTTGCAGCAGGAGAGTATCTGGTGTGTCTCTACACAGGAGCCTCAATTTGGATGTCTCACTCTGAGTAAAGTTGTCTCAGAGCAAGACATGAGTAGAAGTGGAAGAGGCTGGGGGAGAAGGTAGAGGGGCCACATGTCCTCCCATCTCGGTCAGCAGGACATCTTTCATCACTTGACTCCCTCTTTTCCCTGGCCCCCGTTCTTTTTTCTTTTAATTGACACAGGCCTCTACAGTTTTCAGTAGAAAAAAACTTGATACACTGACATAATGTAATCATCCTCTACATTCTTAGAACATTTTTCTTCCTCTCTCTAGACCAGCGCAACAACATCTGGAGGCCATAGACTGTCTACCCTCGCTCTAGATTGTTACTATAAGCATTCAGTGAAAGATGGTGAAGGTGGGAAAGATGCCAGATGAGACCATCAAGCCCCCACTCCTCAAATTGTTGCTGATGCTGCAAAGAGCATAGGTGAATTGCGCTGTGTATCACAGAACACACCTGACTGCTGGTGCTGGGAAAAAGAACTCCACTGCCCTAGTAGGCTGCAAGCAGTGGGAAAAGATGGTGGCTTTTGTACCCAAAATAAAATAGGCAGCAGGACAACCCTAAAGGGGTCGCTTTGGGACACACTGCTTCAGGTTCTGAAAAAGGAAAGAATAAGGAAAAACAGTCTCTCAACAGTCTGTACGGAAGATGGAAAGACCTGGCCAGATGCTTCGCATCTGGTGAAAGGCCTATTTCAGCCTTAAAACGCCTTGTTACTGTCCCCTTAATTAGCTTGCTTTTTAATGTGTTCTGTCTTTTAGAAATTCTGGTGCTTCCCTGAGCATCCTTCTTTCTCAGTGGCTTTGACTTAGCTACACTTCTGATGTACAACCCACATTTACTGTTATAGGTAGTAATGAGGGAGAATAATACTTTTGTTAACACTACAAATATGTCAAAGCAAATTATCAAAGATATTAGACAGAGATGATAAATATAATGCACTACATGTAGCTAATCTAACCATTACCAATTGCAAGGAAAGTAATGTCCCCTGAAGAAGTTACTATAATTGTCTGAAGTGTTATACTAAGCGTAAAAATATGGAAAAGGGAAATAGGGAAACTAGAAAATTTAAAAAGTCTCATGGAAAGATTACCAATCAATTTTTTCAAAAGCAATTACTCAAGCGGTGGCAGTAACTGACCATAAGCAATAACGTGATTCTGGTTTTAGGATAAAGAACTACAAACCATTTCACATATTATGAATCCATGTTTGGATGCACTGTACACCCAAACATATGAAGTGACTATGTACATACATACATGCTGATGCTGGGATAATGAGAAACTTCAGCACTCTACAGGGTGTACATGCAATGGAATATATGCAAATATAGCCATTCCAAATATGGCTGGTACATTTGTAATTCATAGTGTATGAAGAATCGTAGGACCAAGTTACCTAAATGAACATCATCTCCAATATGAATCTCTCCATATAGCACGAAAAAGCCTCCCTCTTACTTTCTACCATATATCACCAATATCGAAGCTGCATTTGGTAGAAATGAAAAAAATAACTTTTCCAGCAGCTGCCTCCAGGCTCTAAGCTTCTCTGCCCAAGGAGCGCCCATTAACACCACCCTCCATGTTATTGGTTTTCCACCAAATGTCACACAAAAACTATGTGTCTCAAGAGGCTTTCCTTTATTACATTGCATTGTGTTTTAGCGGTTTGTTGATTTTATCTTCTCTGCTGTACTTTCTACTTTGATATTCTACTGTGTTTTATTGTAATTTCATGAAATCAGTGTTAGCCTCCTTTAGTACTCATTTGGAAAGGCAGTATTCAAATTTCTATAATAAATAGTATTGCCTACTAAGCAACAATAGACATTTTGCTATCTTGAAAACAGGATCTTACTGCCCCCAGTACAAGTGAATGAGCAAACTCTCAACAGGTTTTCAAAAACCATACAAATTAATAATGATATCTTATGGGCCAGATCCCAATATTAGTTTAATCAGACTCAAGAAAACAACATGCCATTCATGTAAGCATCAGAGGAATTTTACTGCCTCCTAATTTAACATCATTCAGGTGAGCTGGCACCAACTTTACTATATTTTTGGTGCCAGCTCAAGACTTTCCTCTTCCGCAGGGCATTTAATTAGTTGGAGTTTTGCTAACGTTCAGCCAGGTTTGCTTAAGTTTTTGGAATTTTATATATGTTTTAAATGTGGTTTTTGTGTGGTAATTTTTTCCTAATGTTTTCATATTGTGGTGCATTTTAAAGTGTGTTTAATGGGTTGCTGTAAACCACCCAGAGAGTTTCAGCTGTTGGACAAAACAGAAGTTAAATAATTACAATAATTCTTTATTTTATGGGTTGCATCTGTTTGTTTCACAGAAGAATAGAAACTGCTACTAGAATAGATTCCCCCATCTCCCTGCACACTTCCCAAAACAGCTCCTAAGAATTGGGAGAAACTGGAGCAGATTTCAGGAATGCAGTGGGAGGAAAGGAAAGGAAATTATTGCATGACTATGTGTCCACCAACATGTTAGATGGAGCCCTGTAACTGCTATTGAACAGATAAAACTGCATTTGTGAATTGAGAAATTCACATTAATTCTGTTATATCACCATTAGCCAAGGTTATAAGCACCATTCATATGGCTTCTGATTTCAAATTATTTATTTTTCTTTTACTATGTTTATATGCTGCCAAGCAGTCCAAAGGGTTCTCTAGGCTCCACACACCACCACACACTCTTCAAGAAAAAGAGGTTCTCTACTGGCTGGTAGTTGGTCACTATCCCTGTGCCCAGGATCAGTGGTCTTATCACAGCTTTCTTTAGGGAAGCTGGGGCCAGTCTCTCTCTCTCTTAAAGAGGCATTGACAGCCTCTTGGACCCAGGTACAAAGCCCCTCACTCGATTTTCCAATCAGCCATGATGGGCAAGGGTCAAGAGGGCAAGTAGTAAGGTGAACTGAACCAAGTACCTTGTACACATCATCAGGTCATAGTAACAAAACTCATCAATAATAAGACTAAGAAACAGTGCACCATACACATTCAGAGATTGATCTAATTCAACTGTGGAGTCCAATTCACAAAGGATCTAAACAATTTTTTCCATCAAAGTGCAAAGCAAATTTGTCACAGCAAGCTGTCAAAGGCTCCAGGGTTTTGTCTGGTAGACCAGACTGAAGGAGAGCCAGGACCACTCGAAATAGATCAACAGGACAGCACTGTGAATTGTTATCTTTTCGCTTGTCAGACTGCCATTTCTAGTGCATGTTTTATATAAACTATCCATCACAAAACAAAATTAAGACATTTTCCATTCATTGCTAGAATAAGAGATATCTGCAAAGTGATTTTCTTTAATTTAGCTGTGTCAGATGAAAGAAGTTCGTTCCAATTCAGTGAGATAACAGTGATCTAAGCAATTTGGTTTCATGTTCCAGGTCTAGCATAGCTCTGTCTTGCGACTGTGAAGTAACACTTATCTCATTTTACCCTCTTGTTTCTTTTCACACCTTTTTCAAAAACTTCTTTAAGAGTTCATTTAAAAGTTTGGAGATGAATAGACTCCAACAAAGACAGTGACAATGCTTTTTTGTAAGTGAAAAATCTTTAAAATATACATGCTCAGTTTATACATCCAAAATTAACTAATGGGCAAAAGTAGGATTATTTGAGAACTATTTCCTCCAACAAGCCATGCTGCCTGAGTTTAGACAACCCAGTAAACCACAACTACTTAATGATTATGCAAATCCACCCAGCATACATCAATGCTCACAGCTCTGGTAGTTTGCTTCCCTTGATATATCCTTAAGGTTACTATTCAGGTAGCCCAATATCTTGCTTCAACTTTGGAGAGAAGAAGCAAGGGAAAACACCAAATCCATTAAACCAAGTTCATGTACATTTTTCACCTTCCAAATTACCTAAAGGCTCATATTCACAGTTGAGGTAGGGATAGAATAATAAGATTTATCCTCTTCTACTTAGGAGATATCTTGGTATTAGGTACATGATGCAACTTCAGATGTAATTTTCTCTCATTTTAAATATAAAACATTGGCTCAGTAGAAAGACATCTTCCATTAATAACTTCTGCCCTGACTTCAAGACAGTGGAATGCAGCAGTAAATCAAATCCACCAGCAAATGAATGTGCGGCTAAATGATCTCACATATTAAATTAAATGTATGTCTATTATTACACCAAATTCCACATATTCCATATACAGATATAAGCAAAATATTCCCTAGGGGGTATTTTGTAATCCAAAAGAAATTAAATTATCTTCTGGGGTTTTACAATTTTAACCTCCCTAATACCCAAAACAAATTCATTTAAATACACAAACAGTTTGATATTGAACTAATTTCACATGATGCTCTAAATATGCAACTTCTTTGATAGTCATTTTCTACAAGTTGGCATGTGTTACTGATTTAAAACGACAATTTACCCCAAACAAAATACAATTAGTATTTTTTTTTTAAAAACTTAGCATTTTAGAGGACTATTACAAAAATTGTTCAATTAGACAATCACATGTATCCATGAAAGAAAGGCTTAAAAAAGGATGTCTTTATCTTTAACGTATGAAATATACTGACACTAACATTATTCCATTTTGCATTTTAGTTTCTATGGACACAATCCTATGCTTGTTTCAACAGAGAAATGTCCTTCAACTCCAAACCATGTATGCTGGGAGTTAGAGGCCTTTTCTCTGTCTAACCATCCAAACAATTGTGTCTTTGGTTATGCAGAAGCACTGCTTTAAATGCAAATAAGCCTGAAAATACTGAGATTTTATTTTCAAAACTATTTAGAATAGACATCTTTTCTTAAGATATAGTAAAGATACATAATAAAGCCTTAAAAAATACCTGAGAGGTCTTGCCTGGGGATTGCCTGCTTCTACATATGGATGTAAATAATCCTTTATGTAGAGATCAGCAGCACTATTAGAATGGGTGCAAATGAGAATCCTGCTGGAATAAATGGTGCAAATAAAAAAGCAATGAAGAAACACAAAATCATTCAAAGCAGTAAAGATACAAAAAAATTGTGACCATCTTCCCCACACATTTATTTCAATGAAATTAGTCTGTGAATTTATGGTTCAATGAAGTTTCTAACTAATTTCTGTGGGAAGATTTAAACTTTCAACATAGTTGTTAAAAATCATTTAACACTTAAAACTAATGGTGTTTTAATGTTTAAAATAAAGATACCTTACTTAATGCTACACAACACACAGCTAAGTATAATGCATTGAATTTATTCAACAGGTTGCCAAATTTAATTCATTCTTCTAAGCAGAGACTACACCTTTAGACTGCCAAATTCTTTCCTGTATTTCTGTATGAAACAATGATGGATGGTTGTTGTTTTTTTTTAAAGCTGGATGGAGACTCTGTACTGCTAACTTCCCATTAAGTAAAGAGTGGCATTTTCTTTCCAATTACATATCTATATAATATCCCATCTCACCTAGTATCCTGCTGTTGGAGTATGTGCTTGACTGCCTGAGCCAAAGTGAAGGTTTTGCCTGTCCCATAGGGACCGATGATAAGCACAGGAGGCAACTGTATTGAAAGTGGAGTTGTGATAGCCAGAACAGCCTCTTTCTGCTTTGCATTGAGCCTAGGATCCAATTGCTCATCCCACTGTCTGCACAATAGAAAGTAGGACATTTAGCAACACCAAAATGTCATGAATGAAAATGAAATGATTTTAGAATCTTCAAGGCACCTATGTCATACCAACAATATCCCAACACGTTCTTGCACAATTTTTACAATCTGAACTAATATTCAGTATAAATGTAAGAAGAAAAAAAATGAATTGTTTCACATATATTTGTTCTATTGACTTTTTTAAACTTTAAAAACTAACCAAAATACTGATTTCTATTCAGTTCACCAACCACATTATCATAATTTAATTAAAACACACATCATTAAATCAACACAGAACTTATTTACTGATTACTCATTTTATTTACTACATTTAATAATAATCCCTCATTATCTTTGATTAATTAAAGCCCAAACCAGATTTTAATAAAGAACGAAGCAGCTTAACTTTAAAAAATGCAGTAAATCGTAAAACCTCTCTTAAAATCCTATTTAGAATTAAAAGCCTGCATTTGTAACTGGGAAGTAATGGTATTTTAAGTTTGTTAGTAATGAGCCTTAGGACAAGAAACTCCTCTAGAGATATTTAGTAAGAGTAATGTTTCTATAAGCAGTAGGCACAGATAGTAGAAAACACCTGTCAGTGGAGTCAATATGGTCATACTTTTGTTACATGATCTCTATCTTGGAATTCATTTCATAGATCTAAAATATTTGTATTAAGCAGTAGCTAGTTCCAAGGGGTTAAAACAAGAGATCAGAAAAAATCTTGCATTTAGTTTGTAAGTTAATGCCTATGAATATCTAGCTGAAGGAAAACCTGGTAAAAGCTAAAAAAAATATTATGGTTGCAAGCCAAAATACAAAGAGAAACTCAGAAAGAAGATCATTCTGAATTAGTCAAGAAATATGGAAGCATTAGACAGAAATAATACCTTTATGAAGAGTACAAAGATACTGAGACACATTGAACTGTATTAATTTCTACTGAAATAATCGCATGACTTCAGTGGGATTTATACCAGAAATTAGATGGGCTCCATATTTGAGGCGCAATATCCTACCAAAATAATTTGTAGCATATACTCTGTATTACTGGAATAAAATTGTATTGTTTTATAAAGATGAGTTATAATGGGCTGTATCCAACCCTGCTGTTCAGTTCTGGAAAGAAAACCACTGGCGGATGAGTTTTCCCCTCCCCCATGCAGCTCTCCATTCATGCCAAATCTGCCCCAGCAGGTTGTTGGACACTCCAAAACAAATCTGGAATGTGCATGGAATGCTGCAGGGGAGAGGAGAGCAAGGGAATGTCCAACCACATGATGTGGGTTGGACATTAAGCTATAGATACAGATCGTGGACAGTATCCAGTGGTGCCATTTTGCATATTCAAACAGAGCTATGCTAAATCTTTCCATTTTGCAAATGGCTGCCCATTACACTGTCTATTACACAAGTGATTGTGTAAGGCATTATGCAACCAGTTGCAAGAACTGCACAAGCAGTATGCATAAGCATGCTTGCACAAATGTAACTTGAGATTCTTCTCTTGCAGCTAGTTTCTATCATTTGCACTAACAGAATGCCACAGTTGGACACTGCCCCATCAGTTATAATAAAAATTCAGTAACAAACCCACACCCAAAGTGGCAAAGGTAAGGCTTGTACAAAAGCAGGCTCCAAGTATTTCCCCTGCAAGATGAGGAATGACGAGAAAAAAATGCCTGTGTAGTCTGTGATGGAGTTCTGCATCCAGCACATGCAAAAATATGCATCAATCGCCAATGCTGCATCATGAACTATTGACATGGCACCATCAGAGGGCTGGTGGCATCAGCTTTTAGAGCACCAATCACCTGTATTGGGAGGTAGCTGACTGAAATCAGCCCAATATTCTCCACTTTCATCTTCAAGAGTGCATGAATTAGATTCACGAACCATCCCTCCCACCAAAATAGGTTTAGTGTTAATTCCTGTAACACACAGTGTGCACATATCTGGCCTGGGGAGCTGTATACTTTTCTGTGAAAGTCAGATACAGTCTTTGCAGTCCTTATCTTTTAACTTATTTTAAGAGATTAAAATCACAGTCCTTTGACAATAAACATTTAAGAAAAAGAAAGAAAATGTCACAGTTCTTAATGGGACAAAGCCACTTTGAACTAGTTAATTTGATAAAAAATAATTATTGTGAAAAGGCAATTTCTGCCAATCAGAGGTGGATTTTATCCAATTTTTGGTTCCACAATTCTCATGCTAAAAATGCCTTTGGCAGTTTGCTAATAATAATCTAAGAAACAGACATAAACTATCTAATATAAAAATAGTTTGTTCAATACAGAAAAACTGACTGGAAACTCCAGTGTATATGCAACTCTAGTGCAAGCACATCTTTCTCAGTTTCTACCTTATTTCAATATAGTTTTTGTGACTACACATGGAAAGGATGCAAAAGGATATTTAAGTGATATCTATGTGCATGGTGAAAGCTCAGCATACCAGAGATTATCCAAAAAAAAATTGTTCTTTTGAAGCTATGTCACCATGATGTCTAAACCTAAAGTCTAAACCTAATGTCTAAACTTTAGCTCCCCTTTTTCATCTCCAAGTGCAGATATACAAAATAATACAGAATCTTCTTCTGTCTCTCTCTCCTATTGATTGGCTGAAATGCTCCAAGGACTACAAGGATAACTGGCTTCTACCAGTGAACTCTTCATAGTGTCTTACCTTGGAGGAACACCACAGTCAATATTTATCCTACAAACCCAAACCTCCAAATGTGGTCCCTGCCCCCAAAGAGAGTATAGAATGGAGAGTCAAGCCTCGGCCTGAAAGGAGCAGACCATATGCTTCCTAGGCACCCTTGAAATAGGAGGAAGGTGGAGCAATTTGTGTGACCCTCTTATTTTTATGCAAAGGTAGGCAGGCAGACTTTATCAATCACATATACCCTTTACTGACTGAATCACCATTTTCTGTCCATGTGCAGACTGATCAAATCGACAGGATAGGCAGACCTCACATAATAGCAGATATTGAATAGGTAATAATATTAATTTAAAAATATATCATTAGAATTCTAAATATATGATTTTGTATATCCTTTATCCATTTCTAACCCATTCAGCAGTCCTTAATGATTCTTTGCTCTTTTGGAGTGATTTATTATTACAGCTATTATGAATGTTAATAGTTCCATGAGTTTCCCTAAGGGAGTTTATGGCCTGGATCTAGAGCCTGCTTCTTTCAGACAGAAGGGCCCCTTCCTTCTGCAGAATGTTTCTGATCAAGCCGAGTTCTTCCACTGGTGGAATGAGGAAGGAGGCAATTTTTACACGTTTCCCCTTTTCCTGTGCTGCCCTGACATCTCTTAAAATTCTGCTCTAGTGAGTTGTGGGGGGGGGGGCAGAAGAGCATAGGAGGTGGTGCTGAAGCTGAAGGGGAAGAGAGAGATGGAGAAGTGGCAAAGATAGGGCTGCTGCTTACTGATGGCCAGGTGGGACAAAGCCTGGAATCAACCCTCTGACAAAAAGGCACAAGGGAACTAGTCAGATGAGGGGATGAAAGTCCTGAAAAGTTGGCTGAGAGTTATGGAAGTAGTTAAGAGACAGAATGAACCACTCTCAAAGAGCTAATAACCCTAACCTTCAAGACCAACTAGACTAGACTACTCAAGTCACTGCAGTGAATTCCCTAGGAATTGGTCCTCAGACCTGCTGCTGCAAGGAAATTATCAGAAGCACAGCCCACAAAACTTCTGTTTGCACAGCAGAGGTCACCATGTACTACCCTTACTGGAAGGCTGACAAGGCAACTCCTTAATCCACTTATTAGTAGAATGGAAAATCTGTGACAGTTTTTCATGGCTCTTTCCAGGTATTAGTCCCTCAGACACTGCTCATTTCAGTTTCTTTCTGAACTCTGTTTCAGGCTCTCAATGACCGTTCAGTTAATTATTGGAGGTACATGGAATATCCTTTTCACATACCAGCCAGTTGGCCACTGAGGATTCCAAGGTAAGAAGATTAATCCCTATTTTCCCATATGAAAACAAGCTAAATTTCCTATGAGAGAAGAATTGCCACTTACTTTAAAACTCTGTTCTTGAAGTTATTTTCTCTATGATGATCAACAGAAACAAAATTACTTCTTTTGAGACTATTTGCCTTGTTACTTATTCTCAAGGGGCTCTTTCCTTGCTCCAGGACTATCTTGGATGCGTGTGTAGGCTACTAACACAAAGAGTAGCCCAGGACTTATTCATGAGTAAATGCCTTGCTGTTTTGCTAATTTATTTAGCCTTGCTTCATGAACACTTCTTCCAGGAAGGTACATATGAATCAACTCTGAGTACATATATATCGGACTTTTGTATTCTCATTCAATCCATAAAAACAAAGCATTTGAAAGGGACCTCTTCCATTACTTTTTTGCTTTTAAATCTCCTTTGAATCCTTTACCACTGACTTCTGTTGGGATGCTATCATCTGTCTACTCACTCTGACCACCAGCTGAAGAGCACGCAAAACTATACTCTTATTCTCACACTGCCAAATGTGGCCAAGACACAGAGCAAGAACAAACCTGAAATGACTTTGCTTGTAACAATTCTGACAAACAGACTGTCACTTCGTTTCCTGAGTAAATTTACTCAGTATATTTATTTTTATATTTGTATCCCACCGTTTTTCCTCTGAAGGAACTCAAAATGGCTTACATAATTCCCCTCCTGCTCTCAATCTTATCTTCACAACAACCTTGTATGGTAGGTAGAGGTAAGTATCTGTGAAGCCACCCAGTTGGCTCCATGGCTGAGTGGGACTAAAACTCAGATCACCTGAGTCTCAGTCCCACACTCTTAACCACTGCACCACACTGGCTTTATATTAACATCTGAGTACTTCCATCCCAGAAAGGTTTGCTCTATTTCTCTACACACAATGAATAATGCTGGCTGGCAGCTTTTAAACACATCTAATAAACAAACAAGCCCAATAATACCTCAGCAATTTAGCAATTTTGCCAACCCAACCTGATGGCACAGTAGATCAGATCAAAAGTAAAGTACTACACCTTCTCTAGTGACTGGTATCAGATATTATGGAGGAAATGGGAAATCGCTTAACGTGAGGAAATGATAATCTGGTGGTTCCCAGTTCCATCACATCTTAAATTGGAGGATCATATACCCTGGCCATCTGTGTGATTAGCTACTGGTACTCCTATCATTCCCAATTTTGACAGTCATTATGTTCCATTTCCAATAGTTTAGGGGAACCCAAGACGCAGCATATTTTGATAGCTGGTTGTAAACCAACATGAGTCCTTGAGGATAGGTGCAGCTGCCAATCTCATTATGATTGTGCATCTTATTTGCAGTGATGTGCAAATAAGAATATATCTTTTACTAAAGCAGCTCCCATCATATAGGATACAATTAATTACAATGGACTTTTGATATCAGAGAGGACAAAGAAAGCTGATCTCCTAAGCTTAAGTTTCAAGGATAAGTTTGCTTTACTATTTACAGCTATTTGAATTCCTGGTCCTATATTCTACAGAAGGGCAAATTTAAGGATGTGTTTTAGCCATTGCTACAAGGAATGCAAAATAATATCACTATACCAGTTTCCAGTATCAAAGTGTATTTTTGTACCTGTTGGGACTCCAAGGTATTGTGGGAATCATGCTGACATCTGGAAAGAGAATACTGTTGTCCTTGATTCTGTCCAAGGCATAATGCATTTCACAGAGGGGTAAGCGGTTTAACTGAAACTGAAGTTCAACCTATGGTGCATACAAAATGAATGAATGAAAGGTATGCCAGAAAACATGCAATTAAAAGGAGTGGTATTAGGCTTGGTTAAACAACTCTATTGAAATTAGATATGCCAACATATTTATAAACCTTGTAGAGAAAACAGCAAATTGCATTACAATCTTCCCTAACTGGTTTATATGAACTTTGATCAATCAAAAGGTCAATGGGAACATTTTTGTAACACAATCTGCATTTTAATACTATTTTATATATAAGTGTACTAGTGCTTTTATAATTAGGTGGTGCCTGCTAGAAAATAAAATTCAGCCTCCTCACAGATAAGCTCATTTAGGAGGTCTATAGCAACTGTGAGGAACTTATTTCCTGCCAGATGTTTTCCATTCAGCACAGCCAATGGTAAAGAAAAATGAAAGTCATAGTGCAACAACATCTGGAAAGCCACAGGTTCCCCAATGCTAATGTAAGGAATCAAAGCTTGACTTCAAAAAAAAAAAAAGAACATGTCACAGAATACAATTTTATTAGCATAAAATCTGCCACAACAAACCTCCAGTAGAGGTTAATATGCAATAAGTACTGTGGAGGAATTAAAAAAGAATTAATGGATTGTTCAAATCCATGTAGGAAATTTGGAGTAAAGGGAGGCACCTGATGAAAAAGATGTGAGTTGAAAGTAGAAGGAGAGATCAGAAATGTTGAAAAGGTAGGCCCTTCACTGAATTTAATAATGCAGTAGTTTTTTCTGAAGCAATTTAAAATCATATGTCTGTATTTTATAATAAAATTACATATTAGTTTTTACTAAAACGACTTCTAGCAGGACATTATTAAAATATTTTTTCCTTGACTGTTACTTGATCCTAATAGATAAGAATGGTCCCAGAGAAATATCAATATACTTCCAAAATCTGAAAATGCACACAATTAGTTCAGGCAACTGTATTACTCACAAAGCAAATAAATAAATGCAATTTTATTGAGGAAATGGATAAAAGCAACTTGAAAGAAAGCAAATTATGCAGATTACTCATAAAAGCAAGTAATGCGCATAGTATTAATTTTATCTTAATACTTCTGTCCAAGGGTAATTATTCAAAATCAAAGTACTAAATGAAAGGTTGATTTTTACATAGACCCCTATATAAATGGACATCCAACAAGACAGTTTTTTAAAGGATATGAATAGCATCTATAATTACATCTGCACACAAAAAACATTTATACAACAATCACATTTTAATTACCAAAATTTATAGCAATAACTATTAATAGTATTTTAGATATTTGGCAATGTTTGAAGCAGGGCTGCAGAACCTCAGGGTGGATTTGATCACCAGCCTTTCTAGGGTCTCAGTATGTCCCTCCAGGGCTCCTCAGATGGTCATGTGCACACCCCCTTCCTCTACAGTCACCAATAATGCCCTGGTTTCCTGGCTTTTCTGTAGTTTTCATACAAAAGTCCTCATTCAAAAGGGTTGAAATGTCTCTCCTAAGGTTTACTGGCAATAAGAGCGTTAAGATAAAATATGCTGGACTTTGGTACTGTCTCTTTCCCTTTGGCCCAGCACCTTTTGCTTTCACCTATGTTCACCATTGGAATATGGCTCCTAAAAGCTTCTCCAAAATGGAATTCAGCCCTCAAGCTGAAAGAGATGCAACATCCCTGTTCTACAGGAATAAATCTGTTACACAAAAAGCAAGGAAGTCTTTAAGGTGCCAAAATACCTACTATGGCATAGGTTTTCACGGATGGGATCACTCTTATGAGTGCATAAAATGTTATCCTCAGTTGGTAAAGTATTAAACAAAAATGCACATACTGGAAGAACTGGCTAGAAATGTATCCATGGCAATTTTATACATATATTACAGATAACCACAATGGGGTGGATCCAGGCTTATGCTTCCACAAACCAATGGGTTCCTTCCATTTGTGGAAGAAACCAGGAGCCAACAGAGGCTTCTCAGTAGGGCAGGGATGGAAACTCTGTGGCCTACACATCAAGTGTTGCCCATAGTGGCCTCCCAGTTCTTTTGGCTGACACTGCTCTTTGACTTTAAAGCCCCTCAAGAAAGAGGTGGAGATTTCTTTATCTGTGGTCAAGTGAGTAAATATGAATAGAATTCAGGTTTGGCATGCATGCTTAGTAGAAAGCATTCAGCTTTGTACAGATTCCATCACTTTATCTGCTCTGTCCTAGGTCCCACCCAAAGTTTTAGCCTCACCCACTGCTGGAATGCAGTCTCTGAGACCTTTTTCAAATGGGAATTCAGCCCCCCAAAATGATAGTCGTCCCTGAGCTAGGGGAAGAGGGCAGGGCATGATTTTTGCCCATTATCCTTTTCCTTTCAATCCCCATTTCCACCTCTCATGTTATTCCAGAATTTCCCCCAGCCTTCAGAAATCACATGGGAGGTGGTGCTGCGGAAGACAGAGAAAGAGGGAAATGAGTGAAAATTATTTCCCTGCTCCTTACCTCCAGTTTTAACATGAATCTGCTAAGCACAAGTCTGGTTCCAGTCTAATAATCACAGTAACCATATACAACAGCAATAATAGGTGACAAGAGAATCTAGAATAAGGTCAACTTTTTGTTCCTTCCCATACATCTCACGTCTAAGTTCTCCTGACATAACTTTCCATAATCGTCCATCACTTAGAAATCATACTCAAGGAGAAGATGAAGTGAAAGAACACGGCCATGTATAACTATATTGTGGGTCAATAGAGCCTAGATTGCAAGTATTAGAACAGAGTAGTAGTACAGTTGAAAGGGGCCTATAAGGCCATCATGTCCAAACCCCTGTTCTGCTTCTACATGAGATCACCTATCTGGCCACAGGCCTGCACCTTTCCAACTTAGCAAAGGTGACTTGATATGCTAGCTCAATGTATAGTCATGCAAGCAGAAGAGCATTATGCAGGCTTGCATGAAATGCTAAACCAGGATGGATAAAAATGAATGGCTCTTTAAGTTAAAAAAAGTTTTGAAATTTAAACCAGAATTTAAAATAGACAAATAGACAAAAGGGTATACTGGGAGGAGGAGGCCCGTTGCAGAAGGATTCTTCCCAAGGCTAAGGCTGATTACGAGCTGAGACTTGCCAAGGATATCAAGAGCAACAAAAAGGGCTTCTTTCAGCATGTAAAGAGGAAGAGGAAGGGGAGACAAGTGGTGGGACCACTAAATAAGGAGGAAGGAGATCCAGTGACTGATATGAGGGAACAGGCACAGATGCTAAATGACTTTTTTGCCTCTGTGTTCTCATAGGAGATTAGATAAATTTGGGGACTTAGAGGCACAGATTAGTCTCACCTCCCTTGAAGTCGAGGGGCTCCTCAGGGCATTGGACATTGCAAAGGTGGCAGGCCCTGACGGGTTACACCCGAGAGTACTTAGAGAGTTGGCAGGGGTTCTCTCATGCCCGCTGGCCTCCATTTTTGAGGCCTCATGGAGAACGGGTGAAGTTCCAGAGGACTGGAGGGTGCCATCAGTGGTCCCAATTTTCAAAAAGGGTAGTAGAAGGGATATGGGGAATTATAGACCTGTTAGCTTTACATCCATTGTAGGAAAAACAATGGAAAGGCTCTTAATAGAGATCTAGTGATGCTAGATAGGGAAGGGAGGCTGAGAGCCACACAACACAGCTTCCACAAAAACAGTCCTGCCAGACAAGCCTTGTGGAATTCTATGACAAGGTTTTGAGATGCTTAGATGGAGGGGATGCAGTGGATGTGGTATACCTGGATTTCAGCAAGGCCTGTGACAAAGTGCCCCATGATATCCTGGTGGAGAAACTGAGGAGTTTTGGGATACACCAAAGCACTGTCCGGTGGATTAGGGCATGGTTGACTGACTGAAAGCAAAGGGTAACCATTAGTCGGGAATCATCAGGATGGCGGCCAGTGACAAGCAGGGTCCCCCAGGGCTCTGTCCTGGGGCCAATCCTGTTTAATCTTTTCATTAACGACATGGAAGAAGGGGTAAACAGTCTGCTGATCAAATTTGCAGACGACACTAAAACTGGAGCAGTGGCCACAACTGAGCAGCAGGTACTCCAGATCCAAAAGGATCTGGACAGACTATGGAAGCGGGCAGAAGACAACAGGATGCCACCCTTGATTGCATAGCCAGAAGCATGGCTTCTAGATCGATAGAGGTATTACTACCACTCTATACGACTCTGGTGTGCCTGTTACTGGAGTATTTGGGCCCCTTTTCCAGTTTTGGGTCCCTTGTTACAGGACGGATATAGCCAGGTTAGAGTCAGTGCAGCATAGGGCCACAAGGTTGGTGGCCGGTTTGCAGGGGATGGGGTATGAGGCGAGACTGATGGAACTGGGTCTCTTCAGCCTGGAGAAGAGGAGACTCACAGGGGATATATTGGCGACATGCAGGTATGTGAGGGGATGTCACACGGAGATGGGTAGAGACCTGTTCTCCCCTGCAGAGGAAGGCAGGTTGCACTCCAATGGAGCAAAGCTCAGGGAGCCAAGGTTCCATTTGGATGCCAGGAAGCATTTCCTGACAGTTAGGACCTCGAGGGTGTGGAATGGGCTTCCACAAGAGGTCGTTGAGGCCCCATCGGTGCGGGTGTTCAAGGATAGGCTGAACATGCACATGGTGGGCATGTCATGAGCAGAGCCAGCTGGTGCCAGGGGTCAGACTAGATGGCCTGGGAGACCCCTTCTGACTCACTCTGTTTCTATGTTTCTAAAAAAATAACCTTTTGAGGAAAAACTATCTGAAGATAGTTTTCTATTTAAGATACATTATAGGCCACATGTTATGAAATAAGGATTAGCTTTTAATTAGGTAGCATGAGGCTGTATATTCATGCTATGTTTACATTTTTGGGAAAATGAATTCTATTAACCCATTCACAATGTCATGATCTTCCTGAAGTTTATCTAAGATTATTGGGCAATTTTTCTATTTAGAAGATATTATCACAAACACTTGGTTTTACAGTTCTCAAAACTGTGAATTGGTGTCCACAGGGA